TCTTGATTTAGATGTTGGATTTGGCCAAGCTCTGAGTCTTAGCTGGAGCTCCAACTCTGCCTGTTGTCCCAAAATCCCAGTTTGGTGTGCTTTTGTGGGTATCCAGAGCACTTGCACTGGCCATTCTCTTATCCATTTGGTACCTTCCAAGTGATCTTCCTTGGCGGGGGGGGGTTTCAGATCACATTCCCTAGCAGTTGTGCTGGGGATAATTTTCAATTTAATCTTGAGTGGGGTGGCATGCCTGGGGTAGTAAGGTGCTTTAAACACCATGAGAACCTCCAAGTCTCAGTGAAGTCTTCAAACTAATCCCCAGTTGCAAGGATTGGGTTGAGCTTTTTAGGAAAAGAGAATTCTAGGAAAGACAGGTTCAGTGTATATGACCAAACCCAGCAATGTTTGCACAGAATCTTCAGAAGCCAAATGTCAGCTGCAGCTCCAAGCTCACTGACTGTAGTAGAACCAATTTTACTGTTATTGGATGGCTTTGTAGAATTTTGGAGTGCCATAAAATTCCCAGACTGCCAGCTTGGAGCAATAAATGGCCAGGAAAATGGTCATTATGTGGTGTTTGAGAGGGCTGTCTTAGAGCTGCAGGCATTGGCTGCTGCCTGCTCTGGGAGATGGGATATGAGCCCAGATTTTTGGTCTGGTGTGGGATGTGTGAGTAATGAGAGGTCAGTTTGTCCCTGGAGTTAGCAGGGGGTAGCTGCCCTAGAAATAATATTTCCAGGCTGTATTTAGAATGAAATATTTAGGGGTGGGTCTTGAAAAAGAGAGAATAGCCACAGGAATTATGGAAAGAGTAAAAAGCTTTGTTCACAGCAAGAAATGCAGCAAACTCCATCCTTTTTGCTCATCAGAGGGGAGGTTGAAATTTGAGCAGCCTCCTTTAAGGAACTCTTAAAGGAGGGAGGAAAAATAATTTATAAATCAGCCAAAAGCTGAATTGCTGAAAAACCAGACTCTGATCAGGGTTTCTAAAGACAAGACATTATTAAGCAGTGGTTTTGGTTTTTCCCCTGCCACCAAAACTTCTTGCAAAAACATGTGGATGTGTTATCCTTGTGGAAACATTACACCAAAGACATAATGAGGAGAATTCCAGGATTAGATTTTGAGGCAGGCTGTTAGAGGTGGTGAAGGCTGACATGTTTCAGAGCCATGTTGATTTTAGTCCCTGAAGTATTTCCATAGGAGATGCAGATGCTGGGAAACAGGACTGCAGGAGGGCCTTGGTGCTGTCCCTGCCTCTGCTGGGCTCTGTAGGTGGAGGCAATGATAAATTGCACTGAGAGGGATCTGTGCAACTCTTCCCCAGGTGCCTGCCTGTGCTCTGGACTCCAGCAGCTCCACAGAGCCCTGCTTGTGAGCCGAGGCCTGATGGCTCTGTCTTGGCACCAGACAAAACTCCAAAGCCAGATACTTTTTCGGGTTTTTTTTCCCCCTGGGCTTTCATTTGATCCCAAAGCAGAGCAAGGGAAGTTGAGGCTGATGGGAGCTGCCATGTGAAGGGAAGGTTTGTGTCAGGCTGTGCTGCCACATCCTCATCCTGCTCTGTTCTGCAGTCACCAGATCAAGGTTAGCATGATGCCACCCAAATCCAGGCAGCTGAGCAGAGTCTGACTAAAGCAATTCACTTCAGAGATTATTTTTATCTCAGACTTGGATGTGAGCCTCAGTCATTATTTTAACGCTCCATTAAAGCCATACTGTAATGAAATATTAAGTCTCATGTTAACATTTTTGTGCAGTGGTTGAATCAGTGCCCTTGGTCAGTGAGGGCACTGCTGGCATTTGCTGGGACCAGCTTCAAGCTGTAGTCTCTCCTGTCCTCTCCCCATCCCTGTGCTCTGGACCATCCTTGTTTTCTGAACACTTCCAGGGGTGGTGACTCCCCCAGAAGTTCCCTCTGGAATCTGTGTGCAGGTGCCTTCCTCCTGCTGCTGCTGGCTCCCCATCGCTCTGCTCTTTCACATGAATGCAGCACAGCTCACGTGCAGGGATGTAGAAGGGAAAAGCTGAGAGGAGGAGCTTTGCTCCCCCTGCCTTGCACAGAGCTGGGGATGCTTCCATGCTCCGTGCAGGACAGCATCCCAGGGCAGCTGCAGAAATGGTGCCCAGATGGGGAGGCAGGACCCCCCCACTGCAGGGGAGCTGGGACCTCCTGGCTGCCAGCCCATGCCGTGGAATTGCCCATTTTTTCTTTCAGCTGCTATATTTGCTGCGTTTGGGATGTTCAAAATAGCTCCTGTGTCATTGTTGACTGGGACTTGAGTCACACCGGGGTGCCATTAAGCATTAACTGTCTGCAGGCTGAAATCAGACTGCAGAGTTTGTTAGCTTAAGGCAGAGAATCAGTAGTTTGGGAGTTTTATGAAAGATTTGTGAGTGAATTCAGGTTTACAAACTCGGTGCTGAGGGTGCCTTTTGCTCAATGACCTGCCTGGTGCCCAATTAGAGCTGAAATCTGAGGGGCTTGAAGTGAGATTCTCCAAGGAACATTTCTCCTGCTTCTCTCACTAGCAGGGATTTGTCCCCCAAGTGCTCTTGGATCTGAGGGCCCTCAGTGCCTTTTCAATGCCAATATTAATTCCTCTCACAGACAGGTCTTCTGTGAACTGGAGAGAACTTTGAACCAGAAGCACATTATGTCCTGTGAGTGGAGGAATGCTTGCAGTGTGTTGAGATTGCTGACTGAAAGCTGCTGCAGTTCTGCACATTCTGCAATAACATTTATGCTGTACGTTTTAATCTAGCTCAGCAAGCACCTCAGTCTCCCTGATCCTGCACAGTATCCTGCTATAGGTTTGGATTTGAATCTGCTCTGCTTTTCAGTGAATATTTTCCTATGAAGCTTTTCTTGCTTTGTAACTTTGGGATTTACATCAGAAAGAGACTTTTGATAAATTGTTGTGCACAAGATTATTGTGTTCATGCACACAGCTTCATTCGTGAAGGAGCGGCCTGCCTGCTTGTGGCCCTTCCAGGAGACCCCTACTGCATTTTGTAATGGGTTTATTAATGAAGCATTCAATGGGCACTGGAAGGACGTGTTTGAGGGATGGGAAGGAGGAGGGATGCATATCTCACCTAATAAATAGGGTGGGATTGTACAAAGAGCTGTTCCTTAGCTCTTTAGTCTACCCTGGCTAAGAAAAAAATCAAACGCTCCCTAGATAATTTTCCACTAAGTTATTTGGGGGTTTCTTTGTGCTTTTTGCTCAGACCAGACTTCCAGAGGAGGTGTGAGTTGCAGAATTTCACTGGAAAACTGTAATTGTATTATACAGCCTTGTAACAAATGGCTCCAGCTGATCTTGGATTAATTTATGTTTTTTGAAAGAGTTGCTGTGGGGATAGAAAAATCTGCAGAATTGTTTTCTTTCCGCTTGAGAGGAGAGAGAAATAATTTTCCAAAATCTTCAAACTGGTATGTGGACAGCCAGAAAAATCTCCACTGTCAAATCTTGTGTTTAGAACAGTATTCCATGCCTGTTTTACACTGTCTTGCAAAGGTTATTCAGTGAGAGGTTTCAAATTGGCTGTAATTTGTTTTTCACGGTTCTGTGCTGAAGGCTTTATTGGGCAGCAGCAGGAGGGTGATGTGAAGCCTTTCCTTGGTGGGCGGGGATGAAGCCATGGGTGTTTTGGGGTGGGAATTGCTGCTCTGGCTGGCCCAGAGCTGGATCCTGCTCCCAGGGACAGAACCAGCTCCAGCACCCCACACCTGCCGGGCTGGGAAGGGCCTCAGGTGCTCCCCTGTCCCGGCCTTTGGGGGATCAGAGCCAAATGGGAACGTGCAGCAGCTTGTCCCCTTGTGGATCTGCAGCCTTCTGAGGGATGTTGTTGCTGAAGTGTGCCTGAAAAATAATACTCACACATTTGCAGAGAATCATGAACTTATAGCAAAATCAATTTTTGATAGGGGAAAAATAACCTATTTTTTCAAATGCCAATTTTTAGACATGAAAAGTATTGTTAAAACTTTAAGCATTTTTTAAATTTAAATTTTTGTGGATGACTTTATTGTTTTGAATAAAATCTCCTCTTTTGCAGAGGAGTACAGCTATATCAAGCTTTTTAGTAGTCACTAATAGAGGTTTTTCTGCTTCCAGCTCCTGTGCAGCCAGTGGAAATGGTTCAGTCTCTTTGGGATTACCTTTTGAATAAATGAGGAATATAGATGATAACAATATTCCAGTGTAGTGGTGGAATTCTGCAGGGTGTGTTTACATCCATCTCTGAATGTCACCCTGCCTAGGCCATGCAGGCTTTGGAAATACAGGATATTCTGGGCCTTTAGAGCTTTCCATCATTCTGTGGTTTAGGATTTTAATTGCTGAGCTTGCTGTGGTACAGAATTTTCAGGATAGCCTTCAACCCCCTCACCAGCTCTCTAGTTTCTGCTCAGGCTGAGAAGTATTTTTGGGCCATGAGGGAGTGAGAGGCTCTGGGGTTTCACAGGGCACAGAGGAGCACAGCCACTCTCTATAAATATCCATCACACTGGGTGGCTCTGACACTGCAGCACATGCAGAGGGGTGCCAGCACTGCCTTACCTAGCTCTGCAGCTGTGGGCCTTTAGGAGGCCTGCTCTTCATAAATAACCTTTGGTACTGACTATTTATGCACCTTGGATGGAGTTTTTGAAGGAGCTTGTCTGATTTCTGTATGTGCTGGAGACCAGTTTTTACCCATTACAATAGGCTGGGTATGGGATGGAGTTTCTTTTGCTGAATGTTGGTTTTGCTTGTGTGTCAGTTGGAATGAAAATTAAGGTTTATTTTTTTTCCCTGTTTCTAAGATGTTTGTGCAATAAGAGCAGGTTTTGTGGCTCTTGTGTAAGCAAAAAGGAGTGCCATGGTTCATCTGCTGGCTGGGAATTGTGGCTTGGGAGCACCTGAGGGCAGCAGGAGCAGGGGCGTGGGGGGTGGTGATAAACAGAGGTGTGACAGGCCTCCAATTAATAGCCTTTACTCTTTTGTTCCCTGCTCTAGGAAGCTGCTGGAGGAATGCTGTGACCCTGGGCAGCTCTTTGCTATGACAAAGATGAATTCCCCCATGGGAAAGAACCTCTGGTTTGATGGGGAATTTTTATATTCTGTCACAATTGACAATGCAACTTACTCTCTCTTCCCACAGGTTAGTAACCATCTTTTATTTTCATTTAAAGTGTTAAAATGCTAAATGGTAACATGCTTCAAATAAGTATAAATATGCTAAGAAATTGTATCTTGATTTCTCAATACCAAACAGCATTTGATTTTTTTACTTCCATATTGTGAAAATTTTGGTTATGTTAATGCTTCCCTGGCTGCTTCTTTGGAATGTATACAAGGGATGAAATTGGGTCACCTGTGTTGATTTCTGAAGAGTTTGGTTCTGGCTGTCTCAGGAGGGTGATTTCTGCACTTCAGTCAGGGGTTGCAGCCCCTGTGAGCCTGAGCCCTCACCTGCAGTGGCTCCAGTTCACAGCTGTGCAGCCAGGAGGGGACAGAGCTTTGTGTGAAGGCGTCCCCAGTTACTCCCAAGCTCATGAAGTTCATTGGTGGCAAACAATGTAAGCCCAACAAGAGCCAGCAGCTGGGCTTTGCTGATTCTTGCTGTGATTTTTGAATGTTGGAAGGGGTTGGTTATTAATGTCTGTCAAAGGTGCTTTGGGTTAAGTGCAGGATTTTTGAGAGCTGGCAATTTGTAATACTGATGTAGGCTGCTTCTTGTATGTTTAATTAACACAGGAACTGATACTAAATAGTGAGTTTGTTATGTTTTGTATGTCGAATACAAATACTTTATGTGGCTACACGCTTAAAGAAAGCGGAACTTGTGGCTGTATGATTGATTTACCTGCTACTGTAACCTGTCCAATGCAAGGTCTAGGGATTTATTCAGCCTCCCAGTGTGGAGTCATTCACACGGGGCTTCTCATTGTTGCCGTTTCAGTTAAATGTGTAGCAGAGTGTTTCACTTGCAGGATGAAGTTAGCAAGGAAGAAAAGTTTTTGGCGGTTTCTAACAGTACCTTTTAGATCTCAAAGCTGGAGTTATTGCTTGGAATGAGTTTGGTTTGATGCAGGGGAGCGAGGGGAGCTGCAGGGTGGGGTGGGGAGATGATGGCAGCAGCCCCTGTCTGCGTTGACAGGATCCAGAGCAGCTCTGTAGCAGCTGAGCCTGCTCAGGGTGCCAGGGGCTCCCTCTGCTCGCTTGTGCCTGCTGCCCTGGGCTGGGAGAGGGAGCTCTGCGCCCTCAGCCTGCCCAGCTCTGCGGTCAGCAGCTGCTGGAGCCTGCCTGGCCGTGGGTTTGGGACTCCCTGCAGGCTTCTGGGGCCCGATGGAGAGTTGGTGTGCTGCAGAGCAGTGCCTGTGAGCTCTGTGTGTGATCACCAGTGTGATGTGCTGCTGCTCTGCTGCACTGTGCACTGGAGAGAGACCAGGGTCCTTGGCAGAACTCTGCACCACCAGATGCTGGCAGCAGGCTCAGAGTGTGTCCTGCCCAAGGCTTCAGGGAAGTCCCACCTGGGCTGGCAGAGGGAGCTGACTGGTTTGTGACAGATTGGGGAGTTCAGATTTGGGGGTTTTTATTAAATCCAAGCACTCTGCTTGGCCACAGAAGTGTCCTCACAGCACAGAGCAGCTTGCTGGATGGGCTCCTTCACAGAGGTCAGAGAGAAATCGTGCTCTGTGCAGCTCCACTGCTCCCCAGGGCCCTAAGACCTGTCCTAAAGCTTATCAGCAGAGATAAAGAGTGAATATGTGGGAAGTGCTGCAGAGAGAAGCTCCTGGGGGGCAGCAGGGTCTGAGCAGCTGGGCCTTGGTGTCCTGAGGTGTGTCAGGCTGCAGAGGGGCTGGGTGGGTGCTGCTGTGGGGTTGGGGATGGAAAAGGGGAATTTGCATCATGTTCCCACCCCCAGGAACGCTGTCCCTGTGGTGAGGTGATGGGCAGTCTGTTTCTCCCAAGTGCTGCTCCTCCTTTCCTTGCAAGTACCACTGCCTCCAATTTGATGTGTTATTCCCATGCCCTTTGCCCAGAGGAATTTTGCAGGCCTTTATCAGACTAAATCCTGGTAGGCTTAAAAGCCAAGGGGGATTTATTTGCAGTTAATTTTTAAATGCATTTTTCTGCTTCTCTCTTGGTTTCAAGGGAAGCACTTGCCTGAATTTTTCAGGCTCCTTCTTTGAAGAGTGGTGTCTATTATTAGCTTGCTTGCAAGCAATTTTCCTGAAGATGAATATTCCTTTCAAAAGTACCCAGAAGCTTAAAACAATTCAAAGATGTGGTTAATACTCTGAAATGCCGTGGGGATGTAGCAGGAATGTAAGGGGCCCACAGTTATGTTGATATAATCAAAAAATATTTCCTCTGGAATAAATAAAAATTGGTGATTGCAGATTTCTCAGTCCTGAACCAGTGACTAACTTAGAGGATAATGTAACTCAAAATTCAGTAGGGAACTTGATGTATTTGATCTTATGGAAAATTAAATATGTCCAAAGTTAACATGTAAAATGTCACTTATTTCTGAATGTGAGCAATGCAAAACAGCATAATTTTTCTTTTGAGCAGTCTGTAGATGAAGTTCTTACAGCTGGGTCAACATTTTCTGACAGAGTGCTTTTCCACTAGAAATGCTATTTCATGAAAATATAAATTTAGAATCACTTCATTAGGTTTTCAATTTTTCTTTGAAGTGAAAAGGTTGAAAGGTTTTGATGGAGTTAGGACATTTCATTTTAACTTTTTTTTTTAATGTAATACTTCAGCTGTTGGGGTTTCTTTTTATCAGCTCTGTTGCTTCCTCCTTTTTCCTCAGACTTTGAGTGATTATATTACTCCTTTTCTTTTCTCGAGTTTTTGAACCACCAAGGGAGAAATTTGCAGAAGAGAAAAGCTTTTATGTGGCAGTAGTCATGGAGTGCTGCATTTCAGTTTATGAGGACCAAATAGGATGTGGCAGGGTTTTGCATGAAGCAGCAGATGCTGGACGCAGCTCCTCTCAGCCTGCCCTCTGTGTGCTTTTAGCCCTGGATGCTGAGAATGAGGTTTGGGGAGCAGGAATGGGCTCTGGCACCGAGTGCCCCATCCCTCCCTGCAGCAGGGAGCAGCCAGGCTGGCACTGCAGCTCCAGGGTGGCTTGGGAGGGACCTTGTCCCCACTGTGGATAGGGCAGGGCTGGGTGCTGCTGAGAGCCCAGGCCTGCAGCCCCTGCTGGCACAGACAGACACACAGACAGACAGACCCTTCCCACAGCCTGGGCTCGCCATGGGCTGGGATGGTGGGAGCAGCCCCAGAGATTCCTGCAGGGGTTTCCAGCTGCTCTGGGAGCAGGGTGTAACCCCAGAACAGCTGGGATGGTGGGAGCAGGCCCCAGAGGCTCCTGCAGGGCTTTCCAGCTGCTCTGGGAGCAGGGTGTAACCCCACTATGGGCTGGGATGGTGGGAGCAGGCCCCAGAGAATCCTGCAGGGGTTTCCAGCTGCCCTGGGAGCAGGGTGTAACCCCACCATGGGCTGGGATGGTGGGAGCAGGCCCCAGAGGCTCCTCTCAGCTGCTCTGGGAGCAGGGTGTAACCCCACCATGGGCTGGATGTAACACAAAACCACGTGAGGGATGTGTGAACCAGCACTCAGCTGCTTTGGGGTTAGAGAATAATGCACCAAGTCCCTGTTTCAAGTGGTTTTTTGAAATAATTTTTCACTCCGTGCTATTTTTGCCCTCCTTAGAGCTTCAAGACCAAATTTCACACTACCTCTAGCATTAGAGAGGAAAAAACTGCTCACCCCAATAGTTAGGTCTTTGTGCAAATATCTGATTTTTTGGTGCTTGTTGGCAAAAGCCTATAGCAAGAAGAACTGAGGTCAATCTGAGGTCGCCTTTCTCCATCTCCAAGGGGTTAAAAACCTCAGTTAAATCAAATGTAACCTTTCACTCTGCTAGGTATTGTTTTGGAGGGTAGAGGAGTGAATACATTTCAAAAGACATTTCAGACTTTAACTTTTTAATCTGGCAAAATGAAATTATTCATTGAAAAAACTGTTCTGGTTTCATTGTATTTCATTTAAGCAGTTAGATACTTCTGGTACCAGTAAATGATTTTAAATTACTAAATTATGGTTCCTCAGCTTCTCAGATCCCTTGTAAAGGTTTGCTTGCAGAAGCTGTCAGTAACAAGAGTGGCTACTTGCACTGAGATCCTCATGAATAGTCATCACAAATAGTGCTAGAGAAATAAAAAAAACCTGCCAGCCACAAAAAAAAAAAAAAAAAGAAAAAAAAAAGAAAAAAAAAAAGAAAAAGAAAAAAAAGACAAGTGTGGCATCTGTTTCTGGATACTTTGTGATCAGGAGAAAGATGACATTTTCCAAATTACACATATAATACAAATATTTATTTGAAGTTTAAAATCCCACCACTAATATAAAAGCAGAGAAAAAGTTGCTCTAATTGTGAATGTAAAATGGAGGCATTCTCTGACACTTTCTGAATGGTGTGTTGGGTAACAGTGACTTACTTGATGATTGGGCTGTGTGATTTGTGTTTTTCATTCAGGGTACCTGTTAAATTTTGGGAGCTTATTTGGTTTTTCCTGGATGCTCACAACATCTTTTGTTTAGCCAGGGATTTTGGGTTGTCCTGCTGCTGCTGTTTCCAGGCAAATTCTCTGCTCTTACAGTTCCAGCCTGCAGCAGGTAGAACAATTTGTAAATATTTCAGGGGAAAAAAGGTCAGGTGTGGAAAGGGAGTTTGCTGTGGAGTCTGCAGGCTTAGTTCCTTTTTGCGTTCTGGGAATACCAGGAAAGCCCAGCAATTGCTGCCCTGCTGTTGGTTTTGGATGTGCTCTGTTCTCAGTAATGCTCTGTAATTGAGAACTGCTTGGAGAAATACAGTGAAATATTGGCTGTCATTTGTGGTACTTTTCCTTGATGCCTTGGATGTGGACATAAATTTTAAGTCTACAGACATTCTTTTAAGCAGCTTTAACTTTTATTTCCATTAATTCTGTTGCCTAAATAGGTACCACCTTGTGTGCCTTTGAGTTGTATTTAGTTAGGATTTGGGGGAATTTCTTTCTGCTTTCCCTTTTGGTCCCTTTTTTTTTTCTTCCTTCATTTTTTTTCCTGCTCCCTATGCTTACATTAATATGCAAG